CTTGGCCGCCACCCTAGATGGGATTGGGGGCAGCCGCACCCCTTGGGGTGGAAACCCTAGAGGGGGCGCACCCCCCTCCCTCTTCCCTATATATAGTTGAGGTCTTGAGGGCTGCCAACACATGAGTTTGACCTCTCCTTGACGCAGCCCTACCTCTCTCCCTTCTCCTCTCCCGCGGTGCTTGGCAAAGCCCTGCAGGATTGCCACGCTCCTCCACCACCATCACGCCGTTGTGCTGCTGCTGGACGGAGTCTTCCTCAACCTCTCCCTCTCTCCTTGTTGGATCAAGGCGTGGGAGACGTCACCGGGCTGTACGTGTGTTGAACGCGGAGGTGCCGTCCGTTCGGCACTAGGATCTCCGGTGATTTGGATCACGACGAGTACGACTCCTTCAACCCCGTTCTCTTGAACGCTTCCGCTTAGCGATCTACAAGGGTATGTAGATGCACTCTCCTTCCCCTCGTTGCTGGTTTCTCCATAGATAGATCTTGGTGACACGTAGGGAAATTTTGAATTTCTGCTACGTTCCCCAACACATCAGTGTTGTCACTTCCAGCTCCTGTAACCTCGCCAACCTCTTCCAAACGAAAGCAAGGCGCCAGTCGGAGAGCTTCTCGTGGCCCCAACCGAAGCTAGGCCAGGCCGGCGCCCCAGGAGTCAAGAACAGGGGGTTGAATGCGCCGACATCCATGAGCAGCCACTGCTTCCGAAATCCCTTCACAGCAGACGAGAGCTCGAAGTCGATTCTCGGACCGGCGGTTGCGGCCACAACTTCAAAGGTCACGCACCCAGAGCACTGACGAGCGTCGACCAATCGGAGCAAGAAGAAATGGCGAAACAAGACCACGAAAGGGGTAATGCCGACCATGGCCTTGCAAAGGAAGGCAAAGACAGCAAAAAGGATGACAAAGCAAGGGTCCAGATGCAACAGATGGATTTGGTAATGCGAGATTACAGCATTGAAGAAGGGAAAGAAAGGGGGAATCAGAACCGCAAGGAGAGCATGGAGATAGATGGAGATCTCGGTGGCGCTCATCTCACTCATGTGCCAAGACGCAGGACGGACGATCGTTGCCTTCCACTCATTGGAATCGGCCGCAAGGGCATGGCGGACCTTGTCCAACCCTTCCTGGTTGATCACCGTCGACTGCTCGAGAGCTAGCTCCAAGGCCGGCGGGGGCTCGGCCGGGGCGCACGACTTCCCCTTCTTCCTCCTCGGCTAGGGAGCCATGATGAGCGCCTAAAAAGGGGCGAGGCGCCGGCGCCGGATCTATGCACGAAGCGACAAGATTGGGAAAGGAAGAAACAAGGGCCGAGCGCGACAATCTGCAAAGAGCGAACTATTCTGACAACGGACGACCACTAGGCCTGGAGGATATCAAGGCGGCATGGGGGAGTGGAGACGCCCACGTCCCATTAATTGCCACATGTCATCAAGGCCACAGGCGGTTAGGGCCAGCAGCGCTCCGCACTTGCCCTTTGGCTTCGCCAAGAAGCCAAGTCCGAGCGCGCCTTGGGCCCAGGGGCTACTGTCGACGTTCTGGATATGGGGATATCCAGCCCTGCCTGCCTACGTCCCACCACGTGGCTCCATCAACGGCCTGGTACGGCCCAACTTCGACATCAACAGTTCATGACCTTCGAGAGGGGCCAAGCTTCGCGAGGCGGACAACGCCAAGACCCCCGAGGGGATCGGCCTCCTTAGGCTGGCTCCCAAGGGGCGGAGAGTTCTATGCAAGGTTTACCTCACGAGGCTCAACTGACGTGAGCCATGACAACCAAGGCTGGGCGGGCGCAAAGCACAAGTTTCCTCTTCGGTGCAAGGGAGGCAAGCCATAGGTGTGGAGTCCCGAGGAATTAGCCAAAGGTTCTCATTCTGGTGCAACAAGACCAAGACCGCCAGGACGGCAGGACGAAGGTCATCACCGAGCCCACCGCAGTGTCACGACCAGAAGCTTTCGCCAGGCGAAGACTACTTTCGTCAGGATAAGTTGTACTACTTGTCCCCTTTCAAATCCGGCCGTTGTGGGATCCATTCCCATCAACATTTGGGAAGAGGACCAAGGCCACTATAAATAGGACTTAGCCACCACAATAGAGGGGGATGGGATCCATTCTCACCCGACCACCTCACCAACTCTCTCAAGCTCAAGAACACCTCACCTCCTGAGGACAGTTCATCCACTGTACTAGTTCATCCTTAGCCCTTCGAGGCAATCCACCAAAAACTCTGGAGTAGGGTATTACACCACAAGATGGCCCGATCCCGGATAAACTGGGTTGTCTGTTTGTCTCTTCGAGCTCGTCCCGCTAGGCTTAGGAGGATCGCGAGTAGGCAGGCTGGGTAGGTTGAGATCTCCACACGCACCCCAGAGTTCGAACCTCTCAAGGGTTTGCGGAACCCGTAATCCGACAGAAGTTACCGATCCGCAACGCCCATAGAGCACCTGACCGTGTGAGGCTGTGGTCTATGCATCTACCTCATCGACCTTGGGCGATGGCAAGAGCTGCAAATTCTGGAAAGCATTGCATTGATACCTCCAACTATGAAACTGGAATAAGTAGAGCTGACATAAAATTGGAGATGGTTAACAATTAAGGAAAAAAAACTAAAAAGGACCCCATGTGCACCTTTGATATCTATACTGGCTGCACTCTGGTATATCATGAGACGAAGCACATCGAACGAAGGGGTGTGGAGAAAAGGGGCCGAATGGGAGGCGAGAAGGGTGGTGGACCATAGAGCAAGGGCGCTCAACGGTTGTGTCCCTGCCCAATGGCAACTCCTTGCAGGAGCATAAGGGAGACATGAAACAACAGAGCGTTCAACCCCTTTGCAGTTCGATTCTTACTGTATAGGTATTGTAGCTGTTCAAAAAATTGAGACATGGTTATCTCAAGAAACTGGAAGGAATAAGCGTAACAAGCATGTTCATATATTGAACTTGTATGAGCAATGAGAAAGGAAGGTTGAATATAGAGCTTGGAAGGTTGGTAATCTGCTTGCTACATAATAACAAGGATAATCAGAAGAGCCTAAGGCAAGAGAGATGTACCTGGTTCTTGGAGACTCGGAACAGTAATGTGCCGCTCAAATAGACCAGATGTTGTTGAAAGAGCAACACTCCATGATAGAGATGAACCACCCGTCATGGAGAAAAAATACTCAAGATGCACCTGGTCTTGAGACTTGGACTCATTTGCTAGATCTCTTAATCTTAGCCAAATTTAAAAGTATTTCAGAATGCAGTCAATTGTTTAAAGCAAAAGGCAACCTCATTCAAAGTAAATAGAGTGTTTTAAAATATATGCTATGTTTCAAAGGGCATACAGCAGATATGTAATGTTTTCTTTCAGAATATACGTACTGCGAGTAGCTTGCATCTGAGTCAAGTACGCACATAAAAATATGCACAATACATGGAATGAAAAACCTATAAAGTACCTTATTTTAGTAGTTGTCTCACAAAGAATTAAATATTGAAGTTAGTTGTGGGGAAAAATGAACATCATATCCTAAAGAACAGTAATGTACGCTATGTCTTCATTGGCCCTGTTTGGCCCTGCTTCTTGAATCATTGTGTGGGTTACAACAAATTGTAGTATACTTTGTACTATCTTCCTTGCATGAAAGAAAAGAAAAGATTAATCTCACACATATTTTTTCCAAATTAAAATTGCTATGACAATATCATCAATTGCTAGTACTTTTAACTGTATCCATGGCACTGTTGTTGCCTAGCTGCTGCAAATAATTTATCTCCAGCTATGTTCGGAACCATTACATTTTTCATTTTGGAAACATGCATGCAACAATGTATTTCACACACAAATCCAAATCACATTACCAGTAGCACTACATTTTGCTCATTACCAACAAACTGAAGAGAGTATATTTTGGCCGCAATACCACGATTCCGTTAATCATCCTTTGACAAGAAAATTAATACATCAATTTTGATCCTAAAAAAAGCTAGCCAACATTATACCCTACTAACTTATCTATCTTTAGATGTCAATTTGGATATTCCATGCTCACCAAAGAAGAAAAATATGGAGATTTTTTATACTGCATATCACTATGCTCATGTAGAGTTGGAGATAACAGCTTCAACAAGTACAGAGATGTTAAACTAAAAATTCGAAAACAGAAGGCTAAAACTACTTGTTCCTCCGATCCTGAAAGTATATATATCTGATGAATTTGACTACAGTTTGTTACAATAAAAAATAAAATATTCCACGATGTTACCATGATATTATCGAGTCAAGCCAGAATGACATTTAGCACAGCAAGCTGAATCTTCTCAGCATCGTTCTCATGAACCGGTGTACTATAAAGCAAAATATACAATCATCTTCTTTTACAATTTAGTACATATACACTGAAACAGCACCAAAGTGGGTAAAAGCAGCAAAGTTTAATCACAATTCATTAGGAAAATATGTTTATATATAGGATTTCATCGCAACAAAGTGTACGTTCAGCAAGTATTGTAATTTGGTGAGCCATTATCATAGCTCATCAACACAAAGAATGATTATTTGCACAACAGAACTAACAAAGCATCCCATATGTATACATACATAAGTAGAAAGACGAACAAGATAGCCTCATTGGTTTATTTTCTGAAGGTATGTGCACTGTTAAAAATAATCAAACCCTGACCATACTACAAATGTTTACCATTCCACGCAGAGTGATCAAATAGGTAATTTATGAAAACATGAAAAGATTTGTTAAATTTAGCATGAACAGATCCTTCAACACAGAGTAGCATATAATCCAATTACCAAAGAGAAAAAAATACAGAGCTGAGTAGCCCTTAATGAATGAGTTATACACGCATCGCCAGAAAAGGGGAAACCGTTAAATGAGTTCACTTGTTTACCTATGTTGGAATTCCAAGACCTCGACGAGCTTGTTCCTGAAGGTGTACTTCCATGATCATTTGCCTTAAATATAGGGAGGCATACTGCAGGCCATCATAATTTAAATCACAATATTTGCAGTAGATCTAGCCAACAGCTTGAGGATGCCAACGAATATGAATGTACTAACTACCAAACCCATTATCCGAATCCCTCTTAAACAATGGTCAAAATCCGTGAGAAGAGGAATACATAACCCTTCCACGAGATCAGCCACTCCAGCACCGAACATGTGGAAGATGTGATCATATTCAACAAACGAATCATCAACGCTGTCGTGCAGAAGCCCAACATAGACGACCATGGCACTCACCCTCGTCTAATCACAGAACCAAAGAACAAACCAAACAAGATGCAGTGACTAATCCAGAAATGAACTATATGGTGTCTTATATCAAAAGAAATCTGGATAGACTCAAACCAGCTCGTGCATGTTGATTGCTTAACACTAATCAACGGAAGCTCGTAAAGAAATAAAACAGAAATAGCAGCCGCATATATAGAATACTAATTCCATGGAGAAAATTACTTGCAAACATGCCTCACCAGTTCACTGATTCAAACAGAAATAACCACACGACTCACGTGGAGTCTCTCTGCCTAAACAATGGTTCCATAACTAAATACCTTCTACTAAATTCATCAAACAAAGGGTTTGATTAGCACAACCACCACTATATACAAACATGTTCTGGCCATCGCTCTGAGCAAAAAACATGGGTCTGCAAGTCTGAACTAACAATAAGAGCACCGCAAAGATAATACTTAGGCCAACATATCAGGCAATGTGCTACTACGTGCATGTGGAAAGAGGAGGGGCTTACGAGTGTGAAGTTGCCACAGGTGGAGAGGAACGTCGGAATTGAGGTCTTGTGGTTGTGCTTGAGCTCGCACATATGCAGTTCACCTCCGGGTCGCCTCCGAGCCTCCGCCATGTCAGTTAACAGTATAACACCCGGTCAAGTCCGAGGCTCCGAGCTTGCGGCGATAATAGGTGGTAGCATGTCATCGCCAACTTGTCGGGATGTGCCCTGCCGCCACCGCCACGGCTGAAAAATCAGTGAGTACGGGGTGGGTGCATTGGGAGAGAAGGGGTCCAGTTCGGACGAGAGGGAGTGCTTGAGAAAGTTTGAGAAGGGCGGAGGAGACGCGGGAGTGAACGTAGGCGAGCTGCACGATGGCCTGGCCCTCCGAAATCCACAGCGTAGCAACGCCCCCGCCCTTAGGTCTCCGCCGCCAATGGTCATGTGCTTCAGAGGACGAGATGGACAGGCTAGGGTCGAGATGGGCTCCTACCTGATTCGACACTGCCAGCAAAAGATGCCTTCGCCGGCCGCCGGGGAGTGATGCGACCGTCACCACCACCTCGACATCCTTCTCCATCTCGTTGTTGGCATCGTGAGAGACGAAAAAAACCCGGTGGAAGGGGGCTGATGGGAGGTGTGTCACGCACTCGCTGTCTCAGATCGGATCGGAGGGGAAAGGGGATGAGATTTGGGCTTGGGAAAACTAGCTTGCTTTCCAAGGGAAGAGAGATACAGAGATTAGGT